TTTGGCCCAGTGTACCTTTTTTCTTACAAAAAAAAGAAAGATAATATATTGTATTGAACAAACTTTTCTTGGTGAGAAAAACAAGCTTTCAAGCCAAACAGAGCTGTTCTTTAGGCTTGACATAGGTACTCTCTCCTAGTGTCACAACAAAAGCTGGGACCCTTTCTGAAACCTGAAGAGTTGTGTGTGGCTTGAAAGCTTGTCTTCCAGTGTACCTTTTTTCTTACAAAAAAAAGAAAGATAATATATTGTATTGAACAAACTTTTCTTGGTGAGAAAAACAAGCTTTCAAGCCAAACAGAGCTGTTCTTTAGGCTTGACATAGGTACTCTCTCCTAGTGTCACAACAAAAGCTGGGACCCTTTCTGAAACCTGAAGAGTTGTGTGTGGCTTGAAAGCTTGTCTTCCCCACTAACAGAAGTTGATTCAACAAAAAATATTCCCTTTCCTTTTCTCTCCAGTTGAAAGAGTTATAATAAAATTTGAGTGCCTTGGCCTTCTAACACAGTAGTGATTTCAATGCTCATTTTGTTACCATTCAAAGGGTTTCTAACAAGGAACATTTTACAACGATGAAAGTTTTCAAAACAAAAATCTGTCAAGCCAGTTTTCTTTATGTGTGTTTTTTAAAAGAAGTTTATGTATTTGTTAGTCGTTCTCTTACCAGTTGACTTAGAACACAGACACTTTTCTGTACTGTTTCTCGGGTGACATCTGCTTGCCGTACTTTCAGTGCCTAAGAAATAAAGTATTACAATATATATTTTAATGATTTTTAAAGCCAATTACCGGAAAAGTACCACTGATCAGAACAAAACCCAGAATGTGCTATTTGAGAATGGGCATACCCAATGGCATGCCAGGACATTTTTAATAAGTCATGTAACAACTTTTTAGATGACAGATAAAAAGATTTTGTCTAACGTACAGTTTGCAATTAATAAGCCAAATACTTTTTTCCAAATATTAGTAAGTCACATATAGTGAAACCTGAAAATACACTAATACATGGTTACCTAACATTTCTACTGAAATAAAAAATCCATTCTATCTTTGGTAAGAAGCTTTGCAATGACAAAGTCATAAAAATCTAGTGAACTGGACAAGTACCGAAGTAGATCTTTTCCATTGTAATTTAAACCAGGCTGAGCAAGTGTTTGCCACTCTGTGAGTTGTGTGTCAATGTTTACATGTTCAGATTAATAAAACTAAGTTAAAACAACTTGATAGTTAAATACAGAGGCTTTAAACATAAGATATCACAATAAGGGCCTATTGCACAAATATTGAATAAACCACAGAAAAAAAATAGAATTGCAATTATGCATTTAGTATTGTAAAGTTGATTCAAACAAGAATTAATAAACATGTTTATGGGAAACAATATAAAGTACACAATGTGTAATTTGGGACTTCTGAACATAAAAAGTATCCAGAATTCTTTCTAAAAACTGTTAGACATTTCAAAGTTGTTGTACGTCCTTGGAAAGGTTGTCATGCATATTTTTAAAAAGTATGATAGCTCTAGAGTAATTGTAAACTACAAACATTTATAATGTGTTCATCACTTTTTAAAATCTTGGCACATTGCATATATCTATATATCAATATCTATATCTATCAGATCAAATACAAGGCAGTTTCCCCAAAGAATGGGACCATACACACTACCAACCCCTTTACCTCCCTCACAGCCCCAAAACACTTCTCTGAAAATCCAACTAGTCTGGACAATAGAGGTGTGTATCTAATAGAAAACCTGTACAAAGGAGACCAATAACTTTCCTGGAAATAAAGAAGATCCATGAAGGGAAGAATTTGCGTGCTTGTGCAATAGACAAAAGAGAAAGAGGTATCCAAAAATCTTCTTAAGGATTGCTATTAGATTAATTTAAACCTACTTCCAGCAAGAAGTTCGACTTCTCTAGCAATATAAATTCTTAGCTAGCCTGAAAGATTCTTTCAGCTAACTTCTGCTACTGCAGTGGTCACCAACCAGTAGATTGGGATTTACCAGTAGAACTTGGAGCCTCTGACAAGTGATCCTGACTGGTTTGGCTGGGAAACTATCAGATGCTGGTACTTCAGTTGCCCCACCATCCACTGTCATGCTGCTCCTGTCCTCTGCCTTGGAGCTGCCCCCATTGGGAGCTTCCTGTTTGCTGTGCGGGGTGTGGGAGGGAGAAGAGGCAGGGCTCTGATGTCAATATCCCTCCTGCCCCATCTCCTGTAATGTATCTCCATACAGCAAGAAGGGATGGAGGGAGCTTGGCAATTTAAATCTGTCTCACTCACACTCACCTCACACTCATCTCCTGACCTAACACATATGTAGGGGGTTGTTGTTACTTCTTTTACTGCTTGCAAAGTGTGTTACTGGTCTGTTCATTTCATAACTTTCATTTCTCTTATGCTTAAATTTAATTCTTTGAGTAGTGAGTTCTAAAATGCCTAACCTGTCGTGGTTATCCCTGTGGTAATTGCTGCTCCTGGACATGGCTGGCATGTCCCTGCAGCCCCTGAGAAAAGCAGAGCAGGGGGTCTCCACATGCTGTCCGAGCCTGCAGACACCACTCCGGCAACTTCCATTGATGAGTAATGGGGAACCGTGTAGAGCCAGTAGAAGCTGTGGGCTCAGCGCCTGTAGATGAGGGGCAGCACATGGTGCCATGGAGCCATTGCTGTACATGCCAGCTGCTTTCAGGAGTGGTGCAGAGCCAGGGCAGGAGTAAACCTACCTTAACCCCACTGCTCCATCACCCGGAAGCTGTCTCAGTTAAATGGTGCCCTGCCAAAGCCTGCTTCCTGATCCCTTGTCCCAGTCCAGAAACTCCTCCTGCACCCAACCTCCTACCCCAGATGTGAGTCCCTCTGCACCCAAACTTCTTCCCAGAGCTTGCACCTTGAAACCCCTCCTGGAGCCCAATCCCACACCCTGGGCTGCGCCCAGAGCCCGTCCCATACTCCCAACCCCTTGGCCCAAGACCAGAGCCTGCACCCCACTACCCCAACCTGGTGAAGGTGAGTGAGGATGGGGGAGGAAGGGAAATGGAGTGAGCAGGGTGAGGCCTGGAAGAAGGAGCAGGGCCTCAAAGAAAAGGCAGGAAGGAAGTGGGGGAAGGGTATTTGGGTTTGAGGTAGATCTTACATTGCACTTAAATTGAAAAAGTGATCTTATGGTTAAAAAGGCTGGAAACCACTATGGGGCTGTGCTACTGGGAGCTCTTGCCTAGTAGAGTCTCTGTAAACAAAACATATACTGGGATGTTCAAGTATTCTAAGTAAGGATGTTAAAGACTGCTAGTTGATAGGCACTTCCGCATTCCTCCTTTGAAATGTACAAGAGCCCCAGCGGGAATCTTGTACATTTCAAAGGAGGAGTGCGGAAATCTGTGTACAGTGTGCAGCCAGTGGGAAGTCCCGCTGATGCCAGGCTGCACACGGGGGCTGTCTTTGAAATGCACAAGAGTCCCCAGCGGGGGCTCTTGTGCATTTCAAGGACATGGAGCCCAGGTCAGCGGGGGACTTAAGAGTCCCCCGTTGACCCGGGGCTCCATGCTACACTGCATGCCACTAGAAGATAGGGTCATCTGGGGACTCCCTAGCTGATCCTGGGCTCCCTGTGGCATTTCCTGGGGAGCCTGAGGTCAGCTAGGCACTCCGCAGCTGACCCCAAGCTCCAGGAAGCTGCCCCTTTGAATTGCACAGATGCATGGCTTAAAGGGACAACCACCGAACAGCTGATCCATGGAGGAAATGCCGCGGGGAGTCCAGGATCAGCGGGGACTCTTGTGCATTTCAAAGAAGGCACTCACGTGCAGCCCAGTGTCAGTGGGACTTCCTGCTGGCCCTGGGCTGTACGAGGAGTTCTGCATTCCTTCTCTCAAATGTGCAAGAGGAATATGGAAGTGCCTATCGACTAGTCAATGGGAATTCGGTCGACAAGTCAGTTAACCGCATTTTAACATCCTTAATTCTAACATGGACTGTAATGTTCTGGTGATGAAAAGAAAGAGGTTTTCAGCCCTGTGGATGCCTGTTCTGCAGAATCATTGGTTGTAAGATGACAAGGACCATTCTGATCATTAGGTAGATCTCTTGCAAAAGCATGTAATAGACTTTTACCTATTCATTTCTGTATCAAGACCACAATTTTACTCTTGCATATATACAAGTATAAATTACCTTGGCTTCAATCTGCCTGTAGCAAGAGACACCATACACTGTGGCTTGATCTCCACATCTTGGTGGCAAATGGAAAAACACAGTATCTAAGAGAAGGGGTGGGGGAGAAGCTTCATTAGCCACCAACAGAATGATATATTAACATTTTGTATTTTCAGCTCTTTAGTCATCCTTTTAAGTATCATTCTCATTTACAAAAGCTTTACTGAAGAATTTGCATTTCTTACCAGCACTTCCCTTTTGTTAGTATAGCTGAAGTCTTTTGTCTAAATCGGTTACCAAACTGTTCCAGTAACTAGTAAAAACCTCACTTTCTCTCCATGCAAAGGTGCTAGATAAGAAATATTTATATTATGACATGATGAAGAAGGGATGCTAAAAAGCGGGTAATTGAGTAACCATGTGAAAATTTCAGCAGTTACACGTGGGGAGGCAGCCAGCTCCCCAGGAGCCAGCAGGGAGTGGTTGCCCACGAAAGCTTATGCTCCTACACTTCAGTTAGTCTATAAGGTGCCACAGGACTCCTCATCGCTTCTGCATGTAACTGTTCACAGCAACTGATAAGCCTAGGCTTAACTGTGTAAACAGTTATACTTTTACATCCCTATGATACAAAGCACTAAAAAAAAAAAAAAAAGCTTTTCATTAAAACAATAGGATTTACTTCAAAGCTATACTCTATTTAATAATAATGCAAACAGACCACTGCCACTACCTGTTTACTGCTAATTTATAGATTCTGCAAAGCAAAGCACTCATTTTATTTTGAAGTTCATAACATTTCACTATGAAGTGAACCCTGTCTTGAGTGCCTAAAATTTGTTAAAGACTTTAAAATAACAAAATGGAACACAGTTGTACTTGAAAATATGGAGTAGTCTCTTAAGACAAGGAGTTAGGTAATAATAACTGTCAGTCACTCTTACAGATTTCACTGTGTTCTAAAGGGACCAACTAGGCATTTAGTAATATTTTTAATGCATGTTTTTCCAAACCAATAAACAAGAAGTCTAATTCCCAGCTTCCCAGGATACTTCTCTATACCAGCACTCTCTGGTCCAGCATGATTTTAGTTAACCAGATATCCACTTATCATGGGTGTGGCCACGTTTCCCAAAGTCCCATAAAGTTTATCACCACCATCCTGGATCTGTGTTCTGTGCTATTATTTAGCTCTAATTTACCCCTAAATGTCTTCAAAGACCCCAGTAAGAAGTGGAAGTGCTGCTAATGCTGCTAAACAATATTGACTTTCCATGATTCAGCAAATTCTCTAGTTCGGCAATGGTCAGGACCTGAGGATGCCAGACAAGAGAAACTTAACCTGTAGTAACGCCTTCACTGTGAATTATTCATAACCTGCGTAGGAAAACAAGGCCCAAAATGTTACAGTAAATTTACAGTAATTTGAATGTGAAATACATTTGGTAATTCCAAATTAAATTTTTAGTATGTTACTGGCCATAAAACCCAGAGATAACACCTAACAGGCTTAATTGATTTGTTTCTATGCTAGCTTTGAAACACTTTCCTACTGTTGCTGTGGTAATGAAATGACAAAGAGTCAACTATCTAGCTTTCATGTTTAGGGATGTGGCACTGAGCCAATGTAGAAACAGCTTCACTCACCTGCTTCTACTTCCTGCTTTAGATGCACTCAGTGGATCATTTGATATTTAATTATACAGAAATGAAACCAAGTCAAGACCCAACTCAGAGTCAAGGAATGACCTTTTATGACAACATAATAAATCCTCTTGATACAACTCCTATATTTTTGCTACCAATTCCAAATGAAATACCTCTGAAAATTAGAGGGTGAGAGATGCAATTTGAATTAAAAACATAATAAAACCTAAATAAAAGTAGATGCAGCGTATTTCTGTGGTTTTACAATTTCTTCTTTTTATAACAGTTTTCTTCTCTCTTGTTGCTGTGCCGAGAAACAGACAAATTGATTGTACATGGCAAATAATAAAAGGTACCATAGTGCATAAAAAGTATTGTCACAACTGCACAAAGTAAAAAATCTGGAATAAAAAGAAAATATATTTCCTCTAATTTTTCAGTGACAGTGTCCTTTGAAAATGTTTTACAGTGTTCATTTGAAAGTGATCCCTGTTTCTCAGGTTCCTATAGAGCTATTCTGATACTGGTTCAGAACTTGAAACTGCATGGGACTTGTGTAAATTGATACTTGGTTTCTCATAAAGCTGATTCTTGAGGAGGAAGCATAAAGCAAGATAAAGAGAAAAATGTTAAGTAAAATATTTCATTTTTCCCTCTATAGACAGCGAAAGACCACCTCTAGATCGGTTTACCTTCAGACTGCCGTGCCTTGGCTAAGACCTATATAGGAATACCTCGGCAAAATGATTCTCCCACCTTTTCATTCTGAAGGACACTACTCTTCATAGCAAGTCCTCCTGCCCTTCTTATTAGTTGGTTCTCACTATATGATTTCTGCAGGCTGTTAATAAGGATCTGTAGAGCACATATTGAGAACCACAGATCTATTTAAGCAAAAATGGGTTGCTTTGTTCACATACTTTGAATATTTTTTCCTCACACCTCCAAAAATATGTACTGGACCAGATTCCCTTAATGCACCATTTTAAAGGTTTTGAGGATTGCAACATTCTATACCTTGGGGAAGCACTCTAACTCCCATGTCCTCCACATATATAAATGTGATATTGTAGATAAAGCATGCTATGTAACGTATCAGGGGAAAGGCTATGAACTGCCAAAGCCTACTGTTTTATTTAAGTATGTATATCTTTAGTGCTTATGAAGTTACGAGATTGTGTTGTATGACTCTCACTGATATATGCTGTAAATTGGGCAGCCAGATATTAGCTCACCAGAGACAACAGCAAGAAGAGTAATCAACATGCGAACAAGTCAGTGATTCGCTCACATGAGGTCACACCAGGAGAACCACTCAACATTGCCTCACTAGACATGGCTGGATTTGCACTATCCAAGCACATGGGACTGAAGATATACAAGAGATCAGAAGGGCCCCAGGTTTTGCTGTTCTCCTGACCCCACCTATGCTGCAAGCAACAAAGACACTGAGAAGTTTGGGTAGGTTTAAGCCACATATTTGTATAGTAAGGACTGCTATATCCAGTGGGGGTGAGAATAACTGCTCGGACTAGATGTTGCTCAGCCTAGTAGGGTTGAGAGTTTAGACTGTGTGATTATATTTATTTTCTTTTAGTAACCACTCCAACCTTTTGCTATATTTTGTAGTCAATACATTTGTTTTACTGTTTATATTTACCAGTGAATGTGCCTGAACTGAATGGTAAATGCTAGTGTATATCCAATAGCCACTGATGAAGTGATGAATTTGAGCAGTGCAAAACAGTATATACCTGCAATACAAAGCTGGGAGCCCAAAGGATTTGGCCAGTGCCTTTCTCTGAGTGATTCATGAGAGGCTCTGGGATGATTCATGAAAGCTAGCTGGGTATGGGGCTACACAGGCAGCTGTGCTGAGTGTTAATAGCATCTGGAAGGGTTGCTGCTTGTCACTTGCAAAGCATTAAAAAGGGATAGAGAATAAAGACAGAGAATATCTTATTGCCTCTATATGAAACCATGGTACATTCACATCTTGAATACTGCGTACAGATGTGATTATCTCATCTGAAAAAAAAAAGATATATTGGCATTGGAAAAGGTTCAGAAAAGGGCAACAAAAATGATTAGGGGTTTGGAACGGGTCCCATAGGAAGAGAGATTAAGAAGACTTGGACTTTTCATCTTAGAAAAGAGGAGACTAAAGAAGGATATGATAGAGGTCTATAAAATCATGACTGGCATGGAAAAAGTCAATAAGGAAAAGTTATTTACTTATTCTCACAATATAAGAATTAGGGGGTCACCAAATGAAATTAATTGGCAGCAGTTTGTTAAAATAAACAAAAGGAAGATTTTCTTCACTCAGCACACAGTCAACCTGTGGAATTCCTTGCCAGAGGATAAGGTGAAGACGAGCACTTTAACAGGGTTCAAAAAAGAGCTAGATAGATTCATGGAAGGTAGGACTCTCAATGGCTATTAGCCAGGATAAGTAGGAATGGTGTCCCTAGTTTGTGTTTGTCTGGAAATGGATGACAGGAGAGGGACTGCGTGATGATTACCGTTGTGTTCCCTCCCTCTGGGGCATTTGGTATTGGCCACTGTCAGTAGACAGGATACTGGGTTAGGTGGACCTTTGGTCTGACCCAGTATGGCTGTTCTTATGTAAAGCATTGTGAGAGAGAGCCCATACTGCAGAGTGTAAGGGGGCATAGCCGTCCTACCATATATGCCCTGATAGAAGGGCCGGGACTTTTGTGTTGAGACTTTGGTACCGCATATGCCCTGATAGAAGGGCCGGGACTTTTGTGTTGAGACTTTGTTACCGCATATGCCCTGATAGAGGGGCCGAGACTTTCGTGTTGAGACTCTGCTACCGTACATACCCTAATAGAAGGGCCGGGGCCTTGACCTAGGGACTCCGGAGTACTGTATAGGCCCGGTCGGAGAGGGCCGGGCCCCTGGACGGGGGCGTACCCCTTGACAAGCACCTATCAAAGTTAATTCGAACTAATGTCCATTAGTTCGAATTAACTTTGTAGTATAGACATACCCATAGAGAAAAAGACAGAAAATATCCTTTTGCTTCTATATAAAACCATGTTATGCCCACATCCTGAATACTGCATACAGATGTGGTCACCTCATCTCAAAAAAGATATATTGGCATTGGAAAAGGTTCAGAAAAGGGCAACAAAAATGATTAGGGGTTTGGAACGGGTCCCATAGGAAGAGAGATTAAGAAGACTTGGACTTTTCATCTTAGAAAAGAGGAGACTAAAGAAGGATATGATAGAGGTCTATAAAATCATGACTGGCATGGAAAAAGTCAATAAGGAAAAGTTATTTACTTATTCTCACAATATAAGAATTAGGGGGTCACCAAATGAAATTAATTGGCAGCAGTTTGTTAAAATAAACAAAAGGAAGATTTTCTTCACTCAGCACACAGTCAACCTGTGGAATTCCTTGCCAGAGGATAAGGTGAAGACGAGCACTTTAACAGGGTTCAAAAAAGAGCTAGATAGATTCATGGAAGGTAGGACTCTCAATGGCTATTAGCCAGGATAAGTAGGAATGGTGTCCCTAGTTTGTGTTTGTCTGGAAATGGATGACAGGAGAGGGACTGCGTGATGATTACCGTTGTGTTCCCTCCCTCTGGGGCATTTGGTATTGGCCACTGTCAGTAGACAGGATACTGGGTTAGGTGGACCTTTGGTCTGACCCAGTATGGCTGTTCTTATGTAAAGCATTGTGAGAGAGAGCCCATACTGCAGAGTGTAAGGGGGCATAGCCGTCCCATAGACCCAGGCTGCACCCTGAGGATCCCATCATAGGTAGTGTGGGATATTTGTTTTATTTTACTTTAAAAACATAAGCAAGTAAGGTTGTAACCTTTAAAGGAATTCCCCATATAGAGTGAAGATGTCCAGTTATTGGATGCATTTTCATGATTAGGGCTCAGTTTAGGGTTAGTTTATGGTTATTTTAAGTTGCTTCTTCTCACAAATTCCATTTCTATAAAATCTATTTCTGCAGATGTGAACTAAACTGCAAAATAAAGTTTAATAGAACGCAAGTAATCAGAAGCCTGGTTAATTCATAGTTTAAGTGTCAGGATTCTTTCCCCCTCTAACAGAAGCACATAGAACAGTGGTCACCAACCAGTCGATTGTGATCGACTGGTTGATGGCAGAAGCACTGACAGTCAATCTCAATGCAGTCAGTATTCCCAGTCCCCATCGCTCACAACAAGCTGGCGCTACAACCTCTCACCCCCCACAGGACTGGAGCCAGCACCACCTT